GAGCCGGGAGCCCGATGTGGGACTCGATCCCAGGACCCTGGGATCATGACCTGAGCCGAAGGCAGACGCTTAACCATCTGAGCCACCTAGGCGCCCTACATTCCACTACTTTAAAACAATTGGCAACAAGCCCTCAGCATTCCTAGGGAAGTATTCTTGAGGTTCTTAAGAGTAAAGGAATTTCTGACTACCCACCAGGATAATGAAGGTGGGGACTTAAGTGGGGAGATGAGTGTTGAAAAACCTCTTTCTCATTTACTTGTTTCTGGTTTCTTTCTCCTTTTTTTCCAGAGAGAAGGCAGAGGACTGAGTGGGACTTGGTCCAGATAGGGTTGGGCTGAGGATAGCTCAGTTTTCTGAGCTAGACCTGCCATCTCAGCTCAGACATTGGTAACTCAGGCAGCCTTGACATGCTTTTATGGCACTTGGGGCACATTAACGACATAACTTTCCCTGTCTTTGTCTATCTACATGCCACAGTGGTGTTTCCTTACTCCACTCACATCCCAGGCTGTGAAACATAGCCTATTGCTACTAAGTAAATTTTATTTTTCCTTTAATTAATTCACTCTTTCATTCAGGAAACATTTGTTGAGCACCTACTGTTAATTAATACACACTAGGTAGGCCAGATCAATAAGAAACAGTGTTAGTGAGATTGCTCAGGTGATCAGCATCAAGTCAGACTTGCTGTAAGTACCCGATCTACTCTTATATCACAGGTCTGGTGACCAGACTCCTGCCATGTTCAGATAGTCAAACCCAAGACTCCTTGGTATCAATTCTCTGATCCATATCGGAGTTTTGACATTTTCCTGCTGGGCTGTCCCTTAAGACTGGAACCGCAGCCCTAAAGCCCACCCCCAGGATTGTGAGCCACCCAGAGGACATCGTCTGTGTTCCTCGAGATCACGTCTCACATAGCCCTCAGCCCTCTCCCTCTGGGAGAAAGGTGAGAGGAGAGAAATAGAGAAGAGAGCCCTGTCTACAGTGGAATCTCCATGTATGGTAGGCTTCCAGTCTCCCTCTTTCCAATTTCTTTCTGCCTACTAGTCTTGCTCTGCTCTCCTCCTTCTCATCTTGTCTTCAGAATGTTACTGAGCCGCCCCTGTCAAGCTTCCTCCTGGATCTGCCTGGTTATACTCCTCTGTGTCTAGGATATTGGTGACCTCTTCCTGCCTTTCCTCGTCTGGCCTGTACCATACTAATGGACCCTGAACCCTGGGATATGGAGAGTTCCTGGCAGAGCTGAAAACTAGGGAAGCATTCCTTGCTCTCCCACCCCTCTTCCCACCCTCAGGAGGCTCTGATCAGAATCTTTTTCCATGTCCTAAAATATCCTCTCTTTTCTTCGGTTAGAATGCTAGAATCTTGAGGTGTCTTAGCTCACTCGATGTGGTGTTTATTTTTATTTATTTATTTATTTATTTATTTTTTTATTTATTTGACACAGAGAGACACAGCGAGAGAGGGAACACAAGCAGGGAGAGTGGGAGAGGGAGAAGCAGGCTTCCTGGAGCAGGGAGCCCGATGCAGGGCTCGATCCCAGGACCCTGGGATTATGACCTGAGCTGAAGGCAGCCACTTAATGACTGAGCCACCCAGGCGCCCCTCAAATAAATAAAATCTTAAAAAAAAAAAAAAAATCCCACCAGACCGTATGAATGTCAGTGAGCAACTTCTCCTTGGGTCTCTTCACAGAACAGCAAGGTTGGGGCCTCCTGGTGTATCTGAATGCTCTGCTAAGAGGGTCTTGTGGCAGGGATTTTCAAGATTGGCATCACCTATTTTCCTATTCATAATAAATCTAGATTTTTAGTTCTTTATGTCAGACATTTACCATTATTTTGTTTTGAAAAAATTCAAATTTTTCCATATATTCAGTAAATTGCTGACTTATTGCCCATTTGCTTCTGCTAGCCACTATTATGGCATATCCAGTAACAACAGATAATGTTTGTTGAGCAGCTAGTATCTATTATGCGTAGTCCTAAGCGCTTTACACACATTTGATCTTTTAAAGAACCCTATGGGAAATTGTGATGGTAGGTGGGTTTGCGTAGACTGCTTCTGGGCACCACTGGGCAGTAGAGACCCATGACAGTTCTGACTCAGAATTGCAGACATTAGCTGTTGTGCTTTACCTCCTCCGTGTATGCATCATTTTAACTCTTGGTCCTGATTCCTCAGCGCATATATGTTTTGGGAGCATGTGTATGATCATTTCAGAAGCTAGAGATGATCTTTCTATGATTTTTGAATTGGAAAAAAATGTCTTATTGGTTATATAGACTCAATGGGATTTTATGCTACTGGTTTATGTCCTATATTCTGAATGTGGGTTTATATTTTTTTTAATCTATGGGGTTTTTTGTTGTTTTTGGTCTCATTTTCTAGGTCCAAAAGCTGCTTTGTATGTGCCCAGTAGACTTCCATGGGATCTTCCAATTGGATGAAAGACGAAGAGATGCGGTGATCGCATTGGGCATTTTTCTCATTGAATCTGATCTTCAGGTAAGTCTTTACTACATTAAAAGTGTTTTTGCAGTGTAAATGGGGGAGTGTAATTAGAATTTAAATTTGTACCTGCTTATATTTATCTAAAGCAGTACTAGAAGAATGCATATGAACCTAATAAAAGTGGTTAGTGATAGTGAGGCAGAGTGGGTAGAACAGGCAGGAGTAATTTAATTAGTTTAATTAACGTACACCCTCTTATTAAGAAATTTTGTTTTTCGAACTGTGTGAATAATTAAGTTGTTAAAGTGGTTTTTGATGGTTGTTACTGTGTTTTGTTTGGCCAGAAAGTTAATTAAAATGCTAAATGAAGTAATTGTGTGCCCTCCAGAGTAGACTTGATTTTCAATCTAAGGTCAAATGTTCGTTGGTCAGACTAACCATTTTTTTTTTCCCTTCCAAAGGATGGTGTTCTTTGAGATAACTTTGACATAATACAATCTTGTTCAGAACTGTGATAGATATAGGGGCTCCTGGTTGGTGCAGTCGATGGAGTGTATGACTCTTGATCTTGGGGTTGTAAGTTCAAGCCCCACGTTGGGTGTAGAGATTACTTAAAAGTAAAAAAGTCTTTTTAAAAAAATATTTGAGAGAGAGGGAGTGAGTGAGAGAGAAAGCACAAGTTGGGGGGGGAAGGGTGGGGGGAATAGGAAGCAGACTCCCCACTGAGCAGGGACCTGGATTCGGGCTGTATCCCAGGACCCAGGGATCATGACCTGAGTTGAAAGGCAGCTACTTAACCAACTGAGCACCCAGATGCCCCTAAAAATAAAACAAAATCTTAAAAAAAAAAAAAAAAAAAGAACTGTGATAGATATAAAATAAGTTTTAGAGTACATATTAATGTATCTTTTAGAGGTGATTTGAAAATCGGTGTTGTGGCTCCAACAGAAAATGATGTGGCCTTGTTTTTTTTAGTACTTCCAAGGCTAATTGAAGCAAATGGTTAATCACTGAATACAGAATCTATTATTTGTTTGTTTATTTTTATCATTATCAAGAATCACTTTTAATTCCATGTTTAATCATGCTATGTTAGGAAAATAAAGATGTTAGATATTTAAATTTTTATTTATCTAAAAATGCTTACGTCCTGGAAATTCTTTTTTTTTTTTTTAAGATTTTATTTATTTGAGAGAGAGAGAGCATGAGAGGGGGGAGGGTCAGAGGGAGAAACAGACTCCCAGCCGAACAGGGAACCCGATGTGGGACTCGATCCTGGGACCTGAGCTGAAGGCAGTTGCTTAACCATCTGAGCCACCCAGGTGCCCCTGTCCTGGAAATTCTACTTCAGTAGGATTAATATTTTTGACAGGGTATTCATTCATTTGAAAAAAAATTAAGCATTTTAGAGCAGTAGTTTGAAAATTAAATAGGTTGTTTGACCAAGGCCACATGAAAAACCAAAATTAGATGCATATAAACTGCATTTTAATTATTTTCCTATTTTTTTATAAATGTGAAAAGAAAAAAAATCGTATCTCCTTTTTGCAAAGTCTTATTTAAATTTAAATATAAAGGGAGGAAAAGAATTTTAAAAATAATCTGTATGAGAAACTGCTATCCAAATGTGTATTAATCGAAAATATCTTTGGCAAAATTAATAGATTTATCTGTAAGTCCCTAATATTTGTGGTAGGCTTTTTAGAGTGGCAAGGAAGAGACAAATACAAATTACGTTGGTGTAATTTGGGTTTCTGGTAAAGCTTGGCGGGACCTGGGGTCACAGCTCCTTGAGCCATGCAGTCTGCCAGCGCTTCTAGGAAGCCCATTGACCTCACCACACAAGGAGAGGGGCCCCGCAGGCCTTACCAGCCCCCTGAGCCCTAGGGACCAGCTTTCTCTTGGTTCACCTGGTGTTGATGTTCTCTGTCTCCAACCAGGATGGGCTGTGGTACTGGCCTCCAAGTCCAGTCAATGGGCTGCCCTGGCAGCAGCTGTGGCCAGAGTAGCAGAAGTAGTTCACTCCTACCTGCTACAAAAGCCATCACAGGTTCTACAGGATAGAACACCTGGGGTCACTTCCTCTGCAGGGAGCCATGCCTTACACATCCTTTGGAGTTTTGTGCCTCTTAGTACAATGGGATCCTGGACAGATGTAGCCATCTCCTTCATCTGATTTAGAGGAAAAGTTGTTTTTGCTAAAGAAAGTTCTCTATTTGTTGTGGTTATGTATTGTGGTGGAACAAACTACCCCAAAATTTGGTGGCTTAATACAATAGGTTGGTTTTTGTTTTTTCTCTTTTCTCATGAATCTCCAATTTAGCTGGAGCACAGAAGAGTCACTGTCTCTGCTCCATTCAGTGTCACCTGGAGTGGCTGGAAGGCTGGGGGGTAGAATCACCTGAAGGCTTGTTCATGCACAAGGGTGTGGGTTGATCCTGGCTATTGGCTGGGACCTAAGCTGGGGTGCTCAGCCAGGGCACCCCTATGTACATGGCCTCTCCATGTGGCCTGGGCTATGTCACTTTGTCACAATGTAATGTCTGGGTCCCGAGGGCATGTGTCCTGAGAAAAAGCCAGATAGATGCTGTTACTGTCTTCTTTAGCCTGGGAAGTCGGTCTCTTAAACTACAGTTGACCCTTGAACAACACAGGGGTTAGGGGCACTGACCCCCTGTGCAGTTGAAAATCCCCATGTAACTTTTGACTCCCCCAAAACATAACTACTAATAGCCTACTGCTGACCAGAAGCCTTACCAAAAACCATAAAGTAAGCTAGAGAAAATGTTATTAAGAAGACTGTAAGGAAGAGAAAATACATTTACAGTACTGAAAAAAATCCATATACAAGTGGACCTGTGCACTTCAAACCCATGTTGTTCAAGAATCAACTGTACTTTCTAAAAACACCAGAAGCAAGTTACTAAGGCAGCCCATTTTCCAGGGGAGGTAAATTTGACTCTACCTTTCCATGGAAGGAGTGTCACAGAATTTGGAGCCATATTTTCAGTATTACCACATGTTTTGTTTTGTTTTCAGTATTTCAGAACATCAAATAGTATCCCCCTTCTCAGGAGTACACTTAACCTAATCCTTAACTGGAACAGTTATAAATAGGGAAACAACCAAAAGAGTCAGTCATGGAAGGTTATGAAGTGACATGTTGACTGGCTAGTTTGGAAACTAGAAGAAAGTAGTTTTTGTATTGGCTAATGATGGCTATAAAGTCTAATGCTCAATTTGGGAAAAGCAAAAGGAAACATGAAACAGAAAATTAAAAAAAAGAAAGAAAGAAAAAAAAAAGGACAAAGGCCATGAATAACAGAAGCATCACCAAGTTTAGAAGCTTATGGCTGTGACCTTCCCTCAGTCTAGAGGATCTGATCCTGGGGCCCACTGAAGGGCTTGCGGGCTCTCTGAACACTCTTGTTGAAGGCAGTTTTGAGAGTGTGTGCGCACACATACCTTCTTGTGGAGAGGCCCTCATGGGGCCCTAGCCCCCAGCGAGGGCCAGAGCCGGGCTGGACATTCAACAGCAGAAGGGCAGATTTTAGCCCTTCCTTAGGCACCCCTGGTGCAGGTGATGTGATAACTTCCTGATGCCACCTGCTGCTGCCATATGGAAACAGGAAGGATGCCCATCCACACAAACATCCATCTTTGAGATGATTAGGATGCGTATGCTTTACTACCAGCCGCACTTGTATTAAATATAATTTTTTTTTTTTTTAAGCACAAAGATTCTGTGGTTCCTTACCTTCTTCGACTGCTTAAAGGTCTTCCAAAAGTGTATTGGGTAGAAGAAAGCACAGCTCGGAAAGGCAGAGGTAATTTTGTATAAATTTTTCCCTGAACTCCGGGAAGAGCATGTATGCTCGCAGTCTGTATGGATCAGGTGTTTAATCATAATAATGCATCAGGTACAATGTTTCTAGCTGGTTCCACTCTTGGCTGTGAGACAACTGCCTGTCTGCAGCAGCATGGGCTATGCCTACTCATTGTTGTCCAGAGCCCATGGGGGCGAGGGCAAGGCTGAGAAAACTGGCTTTGCATTGCACTCTGGGAGTGAACAGGAACTTGGAGACCTTCATGAACCTTTTCTCATGTCTTCTTGCCAGAATTGGGTCCCCTGCCCATCCCTCAACCAGTCTCTGTTACCCTTAGATGAATAGGCTCACTCCTGGAGTGCATCAGGTTCTCTAGATTGCATCGCTACTACTCAAAAAGGAAGGGTGAGATGGATGTCCAGGACTTGAACACCATATTCACTGTGAACAGTTGATCATTTTGTTGCTGTTGCTGAGTTTTAGTTAAATTTTGTACCTTTAAAAATAGTATATAAGTCCACTATGTGCCAGGCATTGTGCTAAGCACTTGTAACCCTGATGTTCTTATATACTGATTTCCCAAGACTCCCATATGAGTTTGGGACACCTCCAACATTCTAGAGATCATGACCCTGGAGACCGAGGTTTTCTTATAATCTCCCTATGTGAGACCTGAGGTCCACTTTCAGACATAGCAGAGGGTTGGTGTCTATAGAGAAGGCCCTTGTCCTTTTCATTGGTGGCATGGCCCTAGTTTGTTGGGTGGGCTCAGCCTGCTAAAGATGGGTTTTGCTGTTCTCATGAACATCTGCTTGTGCCTCTTCCTCTCCTTTGGGTTTCATCATTTCTGGTAACCTGTTGTGCCTGAAACTGACAGACTCCAAATTATGCACATACCCTGGAATTTAAAGGACTACAATTTTTTATATTGAAATGTAGTTGACATACAATATTATATTAGTTCCAGACATACAACATAGTGATTCAAAGTTTATATATATTACAAAGTGATCACAATGATAAATCTAGCTTCTGTCAGTCTGTCACCACACCAAGTCATTACCTGTTATTGATAATATTCCGTATGTTATACATTGTATCCCTATATCTTCTTTGTTTTAGACCTGGGAGTTTGTCCCCTTTCCCTATTTTGCCCATCCTCCCACCCTGAAGGACTACAGATTAAATAGAAAGCATTGCTAAAAAACGTCAAACATCTCTGTCCACTACTGTTATCTAATTTGGGGAGAAGTAGAATAGCAGTAGAAGTTGATTCTATTTTCTTTTCTTTCAAAGCAAGTATTACTTCTCTGTACATGGACTCCCACTAGGATGAAAGTTTTAGCACTATTTGAAACATTGTTAGAGATATATAAATGTCCAACTATTAGGTAACATTTCACTCTTTTATTTTTATTTAGGCAGTATGATTTATGCTTTTAAACTCTAGAGGAGTACTTCTCAAAGTGCCATCTGGGACCAGCAGCATCAGCATCACCTGGGAACTTGTCAGAAATGCAGATTGTCAGTTCCCACATCAGAGTTACTGAGGAATTAGAACTCTGGGGCTAGGCAAGCTGGCAGTCTGCATTTTAATAAGCCTGCAGGTGATTCTGATCACACTCAAGTTTAAGAAGGACCTAGAGCTGCATCTTAAAATTATAGGTATAGAAGTGAACACGTAACAATCTTCTGCCGTGTGCTATGAATAGATCTTGGTTAAATAATCAATATTCAAAATTGATTAAATATTTAATAGGGATTAGATCTACACAGAAATGATTCTGACATTTTTAAGGTGCACACCATAGAAGCACTGGTTAGCTTTTGGTCTTTTAGGTCCAGTGATCCCTTCCCAACCTTGAGGCCATGCTCCTGAGAACCTCCCTATGAAGAGGTCGGTAGTGGAAGGGCTTTAAAAACCTATTAGGAATAGAGCAAATCTTTGGAAGCTCTTAGTTAGGATTTTCTCCACTTGTCAAAATAAAGCAGAAAAGAAATATAAACATTTAATTCAGTTTAAAGTAGTGGTAATTGATACTTGATGGTTAGCCTCCATATACCACCTCTTATACTCTATCAAGATTGGTTTCTCACCCTGGGTAGAAATTTAGGTCAGGAATAAAAAATGGAGTCTGTCATGTTGAGAAACTGTATAATCTCAAACTATAAATTGGCAGAAACATTTAAGTTTATTGAACCAAAACATTCTATTAAAAGAAAAGTTAGGGGTATTTCTCAGCAACCATGTTGGGCCCATATCTGTTCTTTTGAGGTTCACCTCAGTGAGGGCAGCCATCCCTGTAAACTGGTCTCTTGGGAGGCCCTGTGAGAGAGGGAACTTACCGAATTGGATGGCCCGTAGGTATGGTCCAGTGTCTCAGTGGTAATGATCTGACTCGTGTCTGTGTGCCTTCCAGCCACCCTCCCGGTTGCAGAGAGCTTCAGCTTCTGCTTGGTCACTTTGCTGTCTGATGTGGCTTATAGGGACCCCTCACTTAGGGATGAGGTAAGTGTGTGGTGAATTGGGTGCCTTTCTTTCTTTCTTTCTTTTTTTCTTTCTTTTAAGATTTTATTTGAGAGAGAGAGAGAGAAAGCACAAGCAGGGGGAGGGGCAGAGGGAGAGGAAGCAGCAGACTCCCCACCGAGCAAGGGAGCTCAATCCCAGTACCCCGAGATCATGACCTGAGCCGAAGGTAGACTTTTAACCGACTGAGCCACCCAGGCGCCCCTGGAGTGCATTTCTATATAGTCAAAAAGAGTCCCAAAGTAATGAAAAGAGTAAAAAAAAAAACTTTGAAGTGATTGGGTTGTTTTAGTTGATTTATTTTGTACTAACACACCTAAGAAATGTTGAATACTTGCTTACAATACTTTCCAGGTTACCCAGTGACCTCTTGACTCTTGTCTCGTCCAGCTTTCCCCATAGCCCTGTGAGGTCGGCAGCAAAAGGCAGATGCAGCTCACTTTCCTGACTCTCTGTTGGGGATTCATTCATAGAAGGGAATTATCTAGATAGTTGAAATTATACCCAGATTTTAAGTGCCCAGATTTTTTTCATTTTAGTTTATTTTGTTGAAATGTTACTTAAATGTCTTTCATACTCTTCTCCTTTTTAAACAAAGAATACAATCATAACCTAAACTTTTTCTTAATGAGATTTTTTATTTTGAAAATCAGTTTGTATATGCTGCTATCCTCAGGTCCTGCCAAGGAGTGCCAGTTGCTTGTCAGTATGTTAAACGTTTCCGGCTAGCTATGCTTTTTGAGTTCTTGTATCTGTTTTTTAATTTTTAAAATCTCTTTCCTTAATCAAACTGTAAATTCTGTTGTATTTCTGCCATTAACGTTCTTCTCCATCCTTCTTTCTTAGTTTAGGTTCTTTATTTGTATATTAGAATTGTATATCATTATTTCAGAAGTTAGCAGGCTATAAGTTAAGGGCTTTTTTATAAATAACATTTATCAAAATGTCAATACTAAAGATGACAGTATAACTTTAATACACCAGATGGAGAAAGTCTTGCATTTCAAGTCTTCATATGTTATTCAGCATCATTTAACATTAGCAAAATGTCAGAAATTTACCTGGATTAGGAACACATTATATAAGACCAATCTTATTCTCTTCTTTGCCTGGGGTTTCCTCCAAGACTGGTGGTAGAGGGAAATAAGATAGATGGAGTCTAGTTTATCTTCATCAAGGCATTAGAGAAACACCCTCCTGACATCCTAGATCTAGAATATGGGCTGAAGGCCAACACAATCTGGAAGGTTTGTGGAGCTGTCCAAAGGACAACCGCAGAGGGTGCCAGCCCAGCAGAAGCCTCCCCTAGCCTACTCCCCTACCCCCTACCATTGAAGCAAAATGAGCCAGGGCCATAAACGAAGATTCAGAAAGCAAGTAGGTTTCATTCTGTAGATGACACAATACTGGGAATCAGAGACCAGTATGGTGAACTAAAGCTAATCCCCCAAGCTTTGGTGGCATCAATGACAGGCAAAAAATACCAATAGCATCAGTAGAGGTGTAAAAAAGATTCAAGTATTTTATGTGTCAGTAAGCTTACTGAGCCAGCAGAGTGAAGTGGCTGCTGAAAAGCTAACATCATGTACATGGAAGTCTAGACTATGTTTTGAGTGTGGTGATTACTCAGAGTGAGTCCTAACATCCCTGGAATATTAATGTATTTTCCTGAGCCCCACAATTTGAGACTGTTTCTGACACATGGGACTACTGTGAAATCAGAAGCAGGCACTCAGCATCATAAAGGATATATAAGCCTAAGGAATGGATTAACAGAAATATTTGCCATGAAAAGAGATTTGGGGACCTATACTTGTTTCTGGAATATGGGAAAAGGAGTGGCTCCAAGGGCCAGGGGCACAAGCCCCAGAGGACAATATCGGCCCAGAGTTAGGAGGCACTCTGGACCAACCCAGGGGGGCCAGTTTCTGTTCCTGGAAGGTCAGCTGATTGGCCACTCGGCAGAGCTGTCATTCGGGGATTTATGTATAAGATATGGGTATGGACACTTTAATGTGTAAAGCTCCTTCTAATTCTGAATGAATTTTGTGGTACTTACCTGATTTTGTTTATAAATTTGTCTTTTCTGTTTCCTTGGCTATTACAGATTTTAGAGGCGCTTTTGCAGGTTTTGCATGTCCTTTTGGGAATGTGCCAGGCCTTGGAGATTCAAGAAAAAGGTATGATTCTAGATCTGAGGCTTTTTTTTTTTTTTTCATAATGGCTTTGTGATTACTTTTTTCCTTTGCTTTTCCTGGTCTTCTTTTCTGTGCTTTACTATTTGTGTACCTGATGGATGAAACCCTCCTGAATTAGTTTGCCTTCATTGAGTGTTAGCTAAGAGGACACATGGGGCTCATGAGCACAGCTCTGCTACCTGAATACCAGGTGACCTTAGACAAGTCACTTCACCCTTCTTGGGCCTCAATTTCTTCATTTATAACATGCCCGACTGCCTCTAGCATAAGGCTACCAACATAATCCCGGGGGACGAAATATATTGTTTAAGTATAGTAAAGGTACCTGATAACAGGGCTTACCTGTGTTACTGATTTGGGTGTACCATGCATAGACTGAGACCTGCCAAAAAGAGCAGCTGTGTGTGACAGAGATGTAGTCTGAAGTTGTGCAGATCAGCCGCTGACCTGTTGATGTGACTTGTTCTGACCCGTCACATTTGCTAGGGGATGGGTTGTGAGATGTCAGCCAACGTTACAAGCTGGTGTAGCACAACTCTCTCCCAGGCAACTTTCTGATATCGGAACATTTTCACTTTGTCTTCTAGAATACCTTTGCAAATACGCGATCCCATGCCTGATAGGAATCTCACGAGCGTTTGGGCGTTACAGCAACACAGAAGAGTCTCTCCTTTCAAAACTGTTCCCCAAAGTCCCTCCTCATTCCCTCCGAGTCCCTGAGGAGCTTGAAGGTGTGCGGAGGCGATCCTTCAATGACTTCCGCTCCATCCTCCCCAGTAATCTGCTGACGGTGTGTCAGGAAGGCACCCTGAAGAGGAAGACCAGCAGCGTGTCCAGCATCTCTCAGGTGGGGCTGCACGCCTGGGAGGCAGGCAGAGAGGTCAGGTCTTATTAAGTGCTCACTCGAAGAAAATCCCACTGGCATGCTGGTCAAGGAACTTCACAAAACAGAAAAGGTTCTCACTGGAATTCTGTGTAATACAAGGGCTTGCTTTGGCCTTTTAAGATTTATAAGTGATTTTATCTCCTAGTCATGAAGTATTTATTTCCTAGCAGTTCGGTGCCAAGCTCTATTCTGAGTGGGAGACAGTTGGTGCCCTTAAGAAATATATAACTGACTCATGGAGACGAGCTAAAGACACTAAATGCTAAGAATAATTCATCTCAGTAATGAAGTATAAAATATATGGCTAAACACGAAGAATTTAGGGACATGGTATACAGTAGAGAACACTTAGGTAAGGTGGGCTTCAGGGAGGAGGTGAGGCGTGAACCAGGACTGGAGGTACAAATGTTGGGCTGGCAGAGAGAATCTTGTCTAAGGAGAAACTGACAGCGGTTTGACTGGCCTTTTCTAATCTGTAAGGCGGCTTTGTGTTTCAGGTCAGCCCTGAACGTGGGATGCCCCCTCCCAGCTCCCCTGGAGGATCTGCCTTTCACTGCTTTGAAGGTGGGCTTCACTTTTCTGACAGGAATATTGACCTGGTACTTGAAGAGCAGGTTCACTGTGACTTGTCTTGACATAAAAGATGCTAATAATAACACTCTGCTGTCATGCATTTAGAGAGTCAAGCTTTTAGAAAGCATTTACTTTCTATTTTTGTTTAAACTTCTTAAAATTTAATTTTAAAATATTTCAAATGTGGAGAAAAGTGCAGAAAATAATATACAGACCCCCCTTCGTGCTCCGTGGGAAGCCTGCTTCTCCCTCTCCCACTCCCCCTGCTTGTGTTCCCTCTCTCGCTGTCTCTCTCTCTGTCAAAAAATAAATAAAATCTTAAAAAAAAA